TCGTTAGCCCTTTAGTTGACTTCAGGCTTCACAGAGGAGATGAAGCATCAAAGTGAAAAAAAGTCGAGATGGGGGGGGGAGAAATAGAAGAGTGTTTAAAAGATGTATAAGAGACAGAAACAAAGGTAGATGGAAGGTGAGGTGAGTACTGTGGAAGTAGTCGAATATGACAAGGTAAGATGAGTACTGTGAAAGGGGTCAAATATGACAAATAGTCGAGGTAAGATGAGTACTGTGGAAGGGGTCGAATATGACATACGGTTGAGGTGAGTACTGTGAAAGTAGTCGAATATGACATACAATGAGGTGAGTACTGTGGAAGTAGTCGAATATGACATACAATAGAATCACGATAGCTTGAACTCAGAAGTCAACTGCCGGTTTATAGACTTTTTTGCCGCATGAACTCAGAAGTCAACTGCCGGTTTATAGACTTTTTTGCCGCATGAGTATACGTTGCCCAGAGTACTCCACGTGGAGGTAAGTCTATCGCACACCCTCGAATTTAACATTGAAGGAAGAATTAAATTTATTAGACTCTGATAATGACCTCACACAAATATCATTCATTAAGCCTATTTATAGGTCACTTTCTGATATTCTCTAATTTTCAAATAAATATTGAACAAATAGGGGAAATAATGTTATCTTTAAAGCACAATATCGTGCTTTTCGTACTTACGATAATATATCATTCCTCCTTGCTAAAAAATAGGTGCCAGTAGTCAAGGTATATCCCCCACCACACCCACCCCCCACACACTTCACTCCTGGATTCCAAGGCATTTGGGATTTTAGGTTGCAAATGTAGAATCTCCCCATCTTTGAAGAGGCTATTTAACGCTAACTAAATATTTTAGGTTATCGAGAAAAATTGTGAGTGAACTAACCTGCGGGGACGCAGACTTCTGTGAAAAATTGACTGAAGTTAAAGACTAGCATGATTAAAATAGTTAAGGTAGATGTCAAAGCCAAATTTATTGTCACCGGAAAAGTTCATTAGTTTGATTCGCCTCCTAGTTAAATTTAAACAACTAAAATTGCTTCATATCTATTTGATCCATGAAGCACAACACTTGCTTATGTTAGAGGAAGGGTCAAAGGTCATCGACCTCTGAGTTAATTGTACACTGCCAAATCCGTCGTCAGCATTGCCAACTAGTCTTAGGTCCTTTCATTACTTCAGAATTCACTTTCACTACAAGTTGATTCATGCCGAGTTTCAATTCACAATCGTTTCTCGTGAAGCAGAAAATTTGAAACGCACATTTCTTGAATTCATAGATGGACCGTTTTCGAGAGCCACCAACCCACGGTGCAATGTGCGACATTCTTTGGTCAGATCCGACGGAAGACTTCGGTCAGGAACGATCAAATAACCACTTTTCGCAAAATACAGTCCGCGGTTGCTCCTTCTTCTACTCCTACTCAGCAGTCTGTTCTTTCCTTCAGGCCAACAACCTTCTTTGCCTCATTCGTGCTCATGAGGCCCAAGATGCTGGGTAGGCCAGTCTCCACTACTCCTTCTTAGTTCTCCGTCTTTGTCCACTTGAAGGCTTCATTTTAAGTTATTGAATTTTTGTTCTTACACATTGTATGAATTTTCCTGCAGTGTGTAAGTGGGAAGTTGTTTGGAAAGACCGGAGGTTGTTGAGGCGCCGTACTCAACACGCACGTTTATCAGGTCAGAGGTATCAAGGTCAATGCTTTTAAGCGTTTATGTGACCACATGGCCTATTTAAGTCTGGTCAGTAGGGGGAGGTAGTGGAATGTGCTGATAGTATAAAGGCCATTCTAAGAGACTATTCAAGGCGAGTGAAAGGTTGATGAGCTTCAAAGGAACCTCCAACTCATCTACAACTGCGCATTGGTTCAGAGTCAACTTTTTAGAACTTGTTCATCTCATTTCTAATTTATCTCTCTTACCTAGAAAGTGAGTATTTTTACTTTGGGCACTGACCTCGATAAATAGTATGTTTTGATATGTAGGTTTATGAGTATTCACATTGGATGTTCCCACTATGGCTACTGCCTTGCTGAATCTACTATCATACATGCTAGTAGTAATGTTTTTAAACTTTGGTGGTAAAAAATTCGATTTGTTTTAATATAAATGATGAGCTTAGAGCATCAATAAAATGTTAACCAAATGAAAATCAAAGCGGTTGATACGTTTCAAACAATATCCTGCGTTTTGGAGGGAAACTTTAAATGGAAGATGCCGATCATGAAAATTGCTAGCGGCCATTTTGCTCAAATGTCTTTTTAGTTAAGGTCTCTACGCTTCTTACCTGGGAGGCGGGGTGGGTGAAGGGACGATTTGCTATTTAGCTTTCCGAGGTATTTCTTCGTCACTACTGTCTTTTAAGTAAAATCATTGAAAGTGGAAAGTATTGGAATGCTCTTTACATGAACATGTTTTCCACTAGGACTTGAAGACTAAGAAAATTTCATACTGTGACCTCGTCAGTGGTGAAAAAGACGTTCTTTTCGTTTTTTTTGTAAAGGAGGAAAGTGGGGAGGAATTCCTTACCCTTACAAGTTTTCAATCTAATTTCATTTATTTCTAACTACCCTCAACAAAATCGCTCTTATTATAGCATTAATTCGGGCAGTTCTATTGTTCCCAAATATTCTTCTTCTTCTTCTTTGCTAATACTACCAAATGTTTCATATGCTGCTTTCGCCAACTTATTTTTCCTCTATTCGAACAGCGATCGCTCATTCATTGGATAGTTTTTTTCGACGAAAATTCGTTTTTCCTTTCCTTCTTACTGCCGACCAGGTGCCTATCTGGTGCATACGTAGCCTTATGTTCTATTACAACCTAATATTCTTTTCAGCGAGTTCTTATACCCTTTTTTGCTACCGAAACTACATTTGTTGCGATTGTTTAAATTCGATTCCTCCCATTGGTTCACTATTTAAAAATATCAAAGGCTTATTTTGATTAGTATCCCATAGAAATAAACGGAAAAAAGTTTTCTTTGAATTCGATTTTTTATTGGTTTTTTTAATGATTTTTTCCCGCCTTTCCATCCAAGCGTAATAAGGGAACCATTTTTAAAACGTTGCAGACCATATTAATTTCCATCAGTATGAAAGGAATTATGGTATATCTGTCCGGTTTAATTTCTGATTTAAGTGGATGCCTTGAGCTCTAATTCTTTGATAAATAGTATACTATGGATGGTCTGTCTGATAGGTGGAATTATACATTCAACACAACCTACTTCAGTATTCTCAAAATAATAACCGCTTGTTGTCAAATGTACTCAACTGGGATATTAATGTAAATTAAAGTATGTTTTCAATTGGAATATTTTTGTCTCCTTGTATATAAATGGAGGTTCTAATGAAATTTTAGATCAATTTGTTCCCATTTCCTTGGCTTTTAGAGATTTTCAAGCATAACTTTCATCGTTTTCATCTTATATCAACCTGGCCTTATGTTTGTCTCCTTTGTTAATTAAAGTTGCCTAATTAACAACTTCAATTTTCTCTTAAGACGTCGTGTACAACTTACTGAATTATTTTTGAAAGGGTTACTTTGAAGGCTAAAATATTTTTAAAATGCTTATAAAAACAACATTTGGTACATAAAATTTTGTACCTATTTCATTTAGTAAGATTAGTTTGATTACCAAATATTCACTATTTTTTTGTCACTCTTGAATAAATTTGTTTTTTTTAACTTATCTCCACTACTTGTTCTCCTTCCCATCAAATCGAATCCAAATTTGAGGACATGCTGGTTACATTAGTTCACATAAACTATATTTTGGTTAAAAATTTGTTTTTAATTTACTAACAGTGAAAAAATATTGAAAAATAATCGTAAAGTTTTCAAGGAACAATATTTAATATTCATTTTCTTCCTAAATATCTAATTTTTTGGCAGATTTTCAGTTCTCTTTTGACGTAATTTATTATTGCGTACATCAGTTGTAATTTGTGGAATACATTGAACTAATCTTCACATATCTCACTTGCCTTAGGTTCGGAAATAATCTGAACTTAAGAAAGTAATTCTTTTGTTCATAAAAAAAGCATTAATAAAGAAAGCTCATTCTTAAATTGAAAATTAGGAGAGGATTTGAAACAGGACACTTTTTGAAAAGATTTTGTGAGAATCATTTTTGCTCAACATTTTCGCTTATTCATGTGCCTTTTGTGTACAGTTCTTCTTTCACTTATTTCAAATAATTTCATTTTTTTATATTCCCCTGTCTCCGATTCATCCCAAATTCGCTGGCAGTCTGTCATTTAATCTTTCACATCTCTCACCAATCAATCATATCCCCACCTCCTCCACCCCTTCTCAACTCCAGTCTTGCATCAAGGCTTCTATTCGTCACAAATAGTGCAATTTTTTATTTTTAAAAATAATAATACTGGGAGTTTACTTTAACAATATAATTAATTCTTTTTTTATTAGATATGCCATATTTTCTGAAAGGTATAATTTACTGCTTTTGCTTGTATGATCTCTTATCATATAGGTTTTATTTATTTATATTAAGTGATTGGATTTATGATTGCCATTATTAGTCCTTAAGTTGCACAGAAGGGAGGAACATTATTATTATATCAAATGGCAAGAGTTTTGATGGTTATCATTAGCCCTTTAGTTGACTTCAGGCTCCACAGAGGGAAGGAACATCAAAGTAAAAAAGGTCGAGAGGGGGGGGGGAACAGAAGAGTGTCTCAAAGACGAAGGTGGATGAGGTGGAAAAAAGGTGAGGTGAGTACTGTAGAAGTAGTCGAATATGACATACAATGGGGTCATGGTAGTTTGAAGTGAGAACTCAACTGCCAGTTCACAGACTTTTTGCCATATGAGTATACGTTACCCAAGGTGCACCACATGGAGGTAAGTCCATCGCACACCCCATGTCCATATCATAGATTTCCACAATTAATCTGCCGTATATCTAAACATAAGTGGAATTGTCGATATATCGTTTAATTCTCAAATTCTGTCTAAAATTTTTAGAACCCCTTCAAATAGATAAAATATAGTAGATTAAAGTGAATAAGCATTCAACTTAATTAAATCACCAATGGGCTCTGTGTGATATGGTTGTAAATTCATTTATTAATCCAGGAGATAAGTCTGAAATCAGATTATTTATAATATTTACCTCTTCATGTTAATTAAAAGAACTGCTTCACTTGAAGTGACTTGGGTGAAATGTTACTAAGAATTTGTAGTGTAATCAAAGTTATTATGACTTCTATCTATTAATTCCTTTCCTATTGTTCGTTCCTGAATACTTTTCATGCCTTTGCTAGATATGAATCATTCCAATTCGAGTATACTCATCATTTTTTTCTAAATTTTATGAGTCGAATTAGTAAGCTTCAATCACCTGCTTTAATAAATGTGGTGTCGATTTAGTTATTTAAGAAAAAAATTATTTTATCAAGAATACAATTGAGAAATATAGTTTTTCTAAAAGGGCCATAATTCCAGACCAAATGTTCACTTAGTTGTCTTTTTCAATTTAATTACTCATTAATAAAATGAAGTAAATGATAACTTTAGAATTTGCAGCCTTTAAATTTAATTATGAAAGGAATTATGTCATTAAAAAATTTGCAATTCGATTTTTGTGCACATTCGGCCACATTCATTTTCTAGTTTGTTACGTTCAAATCATAGTAATTTTAAATTTTTATAGAGGGCGTAATTTTATTCCTAATGTGGAAGAAAATACATTATTGTATTTATCTTATTTAAAGACAGGCATCAAAACATTGGGAAGTTGAAAACGCATTCAAAATTCAGGGAACAACTTTAGTCAGTCTTCTAAGTTGTATTTCAGATAATACAATGTAGAAGGATTTGTCATTGCAACCATTTAGAACTGATCTCAAGAAAACGCCCGTTCAGGGTGCAAGTAGGTAGGTGACAGTCGTGGTGATTAGTGCTGTTTGGACAGTTAAATAAATTAGGAGATTTGATTAGTCGTTAAGCTCACTTAACAGTAAATGATAAACCACTCAAATTCTATGGAATGCTTATAAAAGAATGCTAGAATTTCAACATTTGGAATTTGAAGTTGAAAACATTGAACCAATAAATGTGAATTAAAATGGAATGGAATAACTCAATAAGCCTAAAATTAAGAAAATGCTGGCAAATTAATTAAAGAGTTTTATGTGATCTTCTGTCTATTTTCAAAGGCTCAATCCTCTATGCCTTGTGAAACCATTCTTGAATTTAATGAAGGCTTAATTATTGCTCTCTTAACTGAGTTGATAATGTTCGCTTGTTTATTCACTTAAAGTCCCAGCAAAATTGATTTTTGAATCGTTAATTCAATTCTCTTGAAAGCTATCTGGTAGCACACTCGGGATGTGTTACTTATTTTCACTATTGACATGTTTTAATAAATAAAAAACTAATATAATATCGGACAATTTTTGGGTTGATAATTGTCTATTGGAACTTTTTCTCATATCTAAGATTAATGCCATCAAAATTAGAAACGCGTCAGTTT